AAGATCTAAAACAAAGGAGTTCTTGTGAAAAAATAATAATAATTAAGCAGGGGGAGAGACTTAAAATAATTTGAATTTGGATAGGTAGTTTTATGATATTTTGTTAATGTGGATTGATACTCTGAAACCGCTCTTTTTCGTCGATTTTTCTGTTTTTGACCTAAAAAAACACAAAACATGGTTATACGATATTATTTTGACATCTTTTAGATAGAAAAATCAATTCTGAACACGATAGCATGTGTTTCAAATTTTTGACAAATGTTGGTAAGTCGGCTGACGGACGGAACCGAAGGAAGGCCGAAACCACCACCAGCTGTAACTGATAACTGTAAACGAAAGAACAAATAGTGCTTATATGTATGGACAGACTCTTACCATCACCCATAACGAAGCTGGTGAAATCACGATTTCCCCACCACCCATTCAATTTGAATAAGTTACTTTGAAAATGATTTGAGTGAATAAATAAACCACCAATGCATCCTGCTCCACTATTCAGATACTAGAAACACACATAAGTGAGAGATAGACATATTTTCTGTTAGTTTAAGTGTGCATACCTTATATGTACACCATACTGCAAAATCAACATTCCAATCATTTGATTTCAATGGTACGCGTGGACAAGGCCCCAGTCAATGTAACATCCCTAAACAACGAGAAACGTTATATTCGAAAATCGGTTGATGTAAATGTAAATAATTGGGAATACATACTTGTTCATGTGCACCACGCGTAATTGTTTCAATGTCGAATAATTGCCCGGTATAATAATGAATACCTCGTATTAATACCAGTGCAATCGATTCACCCTCACGTCTTAGTGCTTCAAGAATGTCTTCCGTTCGAATATAGCTTTTACCCTAAAAGTATAGAAATATGAAAAACTGTAATCAGTGCTGTACATGATGTAAAACAGTATGTAATTACCTCTCGTGCTTTTAAGATAATTTTCGATTCATTCGGATCATAACCACGCTATTCAATTTGTGAATTAATTGCATACTGTAATAAAGATGAAACAGTTACAATACAGGGGGGGGGGGGGGGGCCCCGGTTTTATTTTTTACGGATTATAAGGGGGGTGTGCCGGGCCCCGGAGGAACCACGCGTGGTGCATCCAAATTTTTGTTTTGTGGCGGTGGGGGGGGATGGATGGC